CAGCTGGGAATAGTTTCCACTCTGGGCCCCTAGCAGGTGCAAGTCCTCTCAGTGACTACAACAGAGAAAGAAGGTAGAGAGAGCCCCTGACCAGCCTCCTGCAGCTGTTTTGTGCCATCAATACCCCCAGAAAATGTCCCTGTGAGCTCCCCAGATATGGTAGCAAGAGCAGCCTGTTTTAAAAGCTAGATTCCTTCACAAGCTAACAATGCCACATGGAGGAAAAACAATGTTCTCATTGCAAAATCTGCTTCAAATAAATAAATGTAAGTCTAGCCAGGCATAGTGGCACCCATCTAGAATTCTAGACTTGAGAGGCTAGGGCAGGAGGACTGCAAGTTTGAGGCCAGCCCAGGATCCATTACAAGAAACCTTCTCAAAAGCCAAAAATAAAAAAATAAAATAAACACACACACTATCATTCTACAATAATGGCTATTACTTAGTTCTCCTATTAGAAGGCTTTGCTATCTCTATCTGAGAGGTGATAAAATCTAAAAGCAAGGTTGGGTAACTTGCCCATCACACAGCCAACCAAATGCACATTGAAAGTTGGAACCCAGGTAATGATCTTTAGAATCATAAGAATTGACCAGAAGCTGGGCACTGGTCGCTCACGACTGTAATCTTAGCTACTCAGGAGACTGAGATCTGATATTCATAGGTCAAAGCCAGTCCAGGCAGGAAAACCTATGAGATTCTTATCTCCAACTAATCACAGAAAAAGCCCAAAGTAGAGCTGTGGTTCAAAGTGGTAGAATGCTAGCCTTGAGCAAAAGAGCACAGGGACAGCCCCCAGGCTCTGAGTGCAAGCCCCACAACCGAACCCCTGCAAAAAAACAAATTAACCTCAACCCTAATGTAGAATAAAAGGGATAGAAACTGGCCAGTACCAATGGCTCATGCCTATAATCCTAGCTATTCAGGAGGCTGAGATGTGAGGATCACAGTTTAAAGCTAGCTGAGATGTGAGGATCACAGTTTAAAGCCAGCCTGGGCAGGAAAGTCCGTGAGACTCTTATCACCAATGAACCACCAGAAAACCAGAAGTGGTGCTGTGGCTCAAGTGGTAAAGCACTTGCCTTGAGCTGAAGAGCTGAGGGACAGTGCCCAGGCCCAGAGTTTAAGCCCCACAACTGACCCCCCCCCCCAAAAAAAAGACAAACTGCAAAATTAATGCTAGAAATTCAACAGCTTCCATTCCTCACCTCCATGATTTTTTTTTTCTTACAATATATATTTTGGCGGTTTTGAGATTTGCATTCAGGATCTTGTGCTTACTTGGCTAGTGCACCTCAAGCCACAGCTCCACCTCTGCCTTTTTTTTTTTTTTTTTTTCTGGTCCTATGGGTTAAACTCAGGGCCTGGACACTGTCCTTCACAGCTAGTACTCTATCACTTGAGCCACAGCACCACTTCCAGCCTTTTCTGAGTAGATTATTGGGGACAAGAATTTCATGGTGGGGCTGGGAAGGTGGCTCAGTGGTAGAGCCATTGCCTTGCATACCTGAGGCCCTGGGTTCAATTCCTCAGCACCACATAAGCAAAAAGAAAAAAGCCGGAAGTGGCGTTGTGGCTCAAGTGGTAGAGCACTAGACTTGAGCTGAAGAGTGAGGGACAGCACCCAGGCCCAGAGTTCAGGCCCCACGACCGGACCCAAAATAAATAAATTAAAATAAAATAAAATAAAAAAGAATTTCACAGTCTGGCTTCAAACCACAATCTTCAGATCTCAGCTTCCTAGTAGCTAGGATTACAGGTGTGAGCCACTAGTGCTTGGCTTACTTTGACCTTCCTCCTACCTGGTCTTCCTGTCTCTTTTTATTTTTTATTTTTTGGGGCTTGAACTCTGGGCTTAGATGCTGTCCCTGTGCTCTTCAGCTCAAGGCAAGCGCTCTACTGCTTGAGCCACAGCACCACTTCAGGTTTTCTATTGGTTTATTGGAGATAAGAGTCTCATGGAGTTTCCTGCCCGGGCTAGCTTTGAACCATGATCCTCATATCTCAGCCTCCTGAGTAGCTAGGATCACAGGCATGAGCCACTGATGCCCAGCTCTGCTTCCTCTTTTACCTTCTATTTTATGAGCTGGGATATTTTATGAGCTGGGATTAACTATTTTCCAGATGTGATCATGTCTTTGTCTTGCACAAAACTGAATTGCATACAAGATAAAACTCAAATCCCTAGAGAGCAAGTCTCTACAGAAGGATCAGAGGCTCTTCTTTCTCACCAAATTTAAGCACTGAACTCAGATTTTAATGAGAACATGAACCATTAGGCAATTGGGAATCTTCTATCCCATTACACTATCCCACCCTCTCTGACTCCCTGTATCCAGGCCAAGCCTGGCATGTAAGAAAAATGTAGGAAATAGTAGCTGAAGATGGTTTAAATGTCCACTGGCCAGAAGGCACAGCAATGCTGCATGCAGTGTACACTCTGAAACCTCATTTTCAGCCTTGTTTCAAAGGCCACAAAAAGTGAGAATGCATTCACATTGGCTCCTACTATCGCCCATAACAGCCTCTCTAGAAAGGTACCTTGGACTTCTCAGAACAGTAATTATTCTTTACATTTTTCTTTTGTGAAATATAACTTTATTTTTATGCCAGTCCTGGATCTTGAACTTAAGGCCTTGGCACTGTCCCTAGGTTTTTTTGTTTGTTCAAGACTATTACTCTACTACTTGAGTCACAGCTCCACTTCTGGCTTTTTTTTTCCTCAAGGTTAGTGCTCTACCCTTTTGAGCAATAGTTCCACCTTTGGTTTTCAGGTGGCTAAGTGGAGATGAGCCTCGCAAACTTTCCTGCCTGGGCTGGCTTTGAATTATAATCCTCAGATTTCAGCCTCCTGAGTAGCTAAGATTATAGGTATAAGCCAGAGGGACCTGGCTGGATTTGTTTTTTTTTTTTTTTTGGAAGGACATCTTGGTTGCTTCTAAGTTTGGGCAATTATAAATAAAAATGCTATAAGCATCCATGTGCTGGTTTCTGTAGGGACATGTTTTCAACTCCTCTGGGTAAACAGCAAGGAGGAAGAACGTTGGAACACACTGTAAACGTTTTGTTAACTATAAATTGTTTTCCAAACTGGCTGTACCAGGCATTTGTAATGAATGAGAGTTCCTGTTGCTCCTCATCACCACCAGCATTTGTCAGTGTTGTTTATCCTTTTTTTTTTTTTCTGTTGTGGGGCTTCAACTCTAGGTCTGGGCGCTGTCCCTCAGCTCTTCAGTTCAAGGCTAGTGCCCTACTGCTGGAGCCACAGCACCCTTCCGGTTTTCTGAGTGGTTTATTCGAGGTAAGAGTCTCACAGACTTTCTTGCCTGAGCTGGCTTTGAACCGAGATCCTCAGATTTCAGCCTCCTGAGTAGCAGGGATTACAGGTGTGAGCCACTGGCGCCTAGCTTATCACTTTTTTTTTTTTTTTTTGGAGGGGGGGCTCAGGTCATGAGTCCTGAACTCTGGGCCTGGGCACTGTCCCTCAGCTCTTCAGCTCAAGGCTAGCGCTTTACCACTTGACCCACAGCACCACTTCCGGCTTTTTTCTTTTTGCTTATTAGGTGCTGAGGAATCAAACCCAGGGGCTCAGGCATGCAAGGCAAGCGCTCTACCACTGAGCCACCTTCCCAGCTCTCGTCATTCTTTCTTATATGCTTATTTTCCATCTGTGTATCTTTCTCCCTTTTTTTTTTTTTTTTGACTTGGTCCTAAGGCTTGAACTCAGGGCCTGGGCACTGTTGCTAAGCTTTTTTGTTCAAGACTAGTGCTCTATCACCTGAGCCACAATTGTACTTTGGCTTTATGGTGGTTAATTGCAGATAAAGAGTCTCATGGACTTTCTTGTCCCAGCTGGCTTCAAACCACAATCCGCTGATCTCAGCTTCTAAAGCAGTTATGATTATGAGTCACTAACACCCAGCTTATATATCTTTTTTGTTGGTTGGTCGTTGGTTGAACTCTGGGCTTGGGCTCTGACCCTGCACTCTCCAGATCAAGGTGAGTGCTCTACTGCTTGAGCCACAGCACTACTTTTGGTTTTCTCAGCCCCTTGAGTAGCTAGGATTACAGGCGTGAGATATGTATCTTCTTTATAGTCAGGTTTCTATTAAGGTCTTTGGCCTATTTTGCAGCCAACTCCTCTGTTTTCTTATGGTTGAACTTTTAAGAGTTCATGATAGGGAAGTGGCGCTGTGAGCTGAAGAGCTGAGGGACAGCGCTCAGGCCCAGAGTTCAAGGACCACGACCAACAACAACAAAAGAGTTCATGATAGCTGGACATGTTGGTTCATACCTGTAATCCCAGTTACTACTTGGGAGTCTGAGGCAAGAAGGATGAGTTTGAGGCTACACAGTTAAGAGCCTGTCTTAGAAAACCAAACTAAACCAAAGTCAATTGTCACTTTGATGTTCAATTCCCATGACTGATTACTAATATTGTGCATCTTTTTCATGACTGTTGGCCAACAATTTTTAGCACACCCAAAACTACCTTACATTTTACAAATGAATTTTTTTTGTCGGTCATGGGGTTTAAACTCTGGGCCTGGGTACTGTCCCTCAGCTCTTCAGCTCAAGACTAGCACTCTACCACTTGAACTACAACGCCACATCTGGCTTTTTTTCTGCTTATGTGGCGCTGAGGAATCGAACCCAAGGCCTCATGCATGCAAGGCAAGCAATCTACCACTAAGCCACCTTCCCAGCCCCCAAATGAACTTCTAAAACTCCTCTCCACACTTGTGCAAGTCCTTCTCCTCTATCATCTTCAGAATCTAGCCAGCTATATTCACAAACTTTTACCAGGACAGCTTCCAGGACAGCTGCAAAACTGGAAGCCAAAAAACCCCCAAAGTTTGTTATCAGCATGAAAATGACAAGCTCGCCCCCTGGTGACAAGCTAAGATAACCGAAAAAGCAAATGAAAACCATCTCTATCCTATCGGCAATCTGGAGAGAACATTAATAACACAAAGGACAAACTGGTCAGAATAGTTTATTCACAGTTAAAGAAGTTCAGTTCCAAAAACAAAGGAGGGAGTAACAATGCTTGATAGGAAATGTACTCATTACCTTACTCATGTAACTAACCCCTCTGTACAGTATCTTTACAATAAAAAACATTAAAAAACAATTGTTCCACCAGTGTGGTGACACATGCTTACAAGCCCAGCACTTGGAAAGCCGTGGCAAGAGAATGACAAGTTTGAGGCCAGTGCTAAATACCAAGACTTGTCTCCAAAAGTTGCCCAGTTGCAGTGGGCAAAATGTGCCACAAAATCCTTGTTGCTGGGAATAATTAGCTCTCTCTAAATGAGGAGCGGTGCCAGGTGATCACCATGAGGTTTTACATTTTAACTGAATAGCTCTCCTAGAGGAAAGCAGGCTGGTTTCACCTTCTTTAGCAACCCAGAGGCCTAACAACCTTTCACCTTTTTAACAACCTTTAACCTGTATGCTACACAACCCTTCTCATTGCTGCAATAGAAGACCTGACTGTAAAGGCAAAAGGGAAGCCCACACCAATGATTATGTAAGTCAGAGGGTGGCAGTCGTGACATTACTGTTCTTAACTCCCTAAGACCTCTGTTATGTAAATTAGGGTATTTTCTGATTTTCAAGCCCTTCCAGGATAATAATGATGATGGTGACTGCTGATTTTTACAACTTCCTGCGCCCCCCCCCCCCCATCCTCCAAATCTCTATGGCTTTCAAGTTTGTTCCAATTTTTTTAGGGCTCATTATTTGAAAATTAAGCCCCATAAATGTGCATTTCTTCATAGAATATACCCTGGGAGGGGGCTAGGCCATGCTACCCAAATGTTAAGGGCTGGACTCGTTTATGCTGTTCTTTATGCAGCTGCCGGGCTCGATTTTTTAGCAACTCAGCCTTGGCCTCATCTTTTTCAACACCATCTCCCAGCTTATACATGCGGCTGGCATTGGCACAGGCCCACACATGGCCCAGGTCACAGGCCTTCAGTGAGTATTTACATGCCTGGCTCATGTCCTTGGGAAAGCCAGGGGCGCCCTGCAGGAACATAGCACTGAGGTTGAAGCAGCTGGAGGCATAGCTGCCATCACAGGCTCGTGTGTAATAGTCTCTGGCCTTCTCCAGGTCCGGCTGGCCATCCTCATTGACCTGTCCATCATGGGCCAGGAGACCAACATTGTGACATGCTTCCATAGACTTCTTTCCAGGTTTCTCACATGCCACTAGAAAGCAGTTTAAGGCAGCTTTCAGGTCCTGGGTCAGTCCACCTATAAGGACAGAGAGGAAGGAAAAAGTAAAAACTCAAGGGAACAACCTATTTGTCTCAGGTCAAAGCTAAGGCACAGTGCACCTATATTTTAGGTTTCTCAGCAGTGGACTCTTCTGTTCAAATGCTATCTTGTAAGGGAGCCCACTCAGGTAAAGATGGGGAAAACTAGGAGTTTTATCAGCCCTCATAGGTTATAGTGAGAACTCAGAAAATTTTTTTTTCTGTCAGTCGTGGGGCGTGCTCAAGTCTAGCGTTCTACCATATGAGCTACCGATTCTCTGGTAGTTTATTGGAGATAAAAGTCTCACAGACTTTCCTTTGAAGGCTGGCTTTGACCCATGATCCTCAGATCTCAGCCTCCTAAGTAGCTAGGATTACAGGTATGAGTCACTGGCACCCAGCTCACACAGAATTTTTTTTTTCTTTTTTTTTGGGTCCGGTCATGGGGCCTGAACTCTGGGCCTGGGCTCTGTTCCCTCGGCTCTTCAGCTCAAGGCTACCACTTGAGCCACAGCACAATTTCCGGCTTTTTTCTTTTTGCTTATGTGGTGCTGAGGAATCGAACCTAGGGCCTCAGGCATGCAAGGCAAGCGCTCTACCACTGAGCCACCTTCCCAGCCCCTCACACAGAATTTTTTAATGCTTAATTAAACATACATTCATTTAGATATACAGTTGGCCCCCCCATATCCACAATGATTACAACTAATTTGATTAGACGTGAAAGTATCACTGCACTTCATCTACAAATTTAACCAACTCCTGATCGAAAATATTAAGGGGGAAAAACCCCACCATGTCTGGGTTGGAAACGTGGTCCAACTAGTAGAGTGGCTATATAGCAAGTGCAATACGCTGTTTAAATCCCAACACTGTCTAAAACAGGAAAAAATAATTGTACTAAACACTCATGGACTTTTTTCCTTGTCATTATTACAGGAACAATACTCAAATATAACTATTTACATTATCATTTATACTGCATTGAGTAGCGTAAGAATCTAGAAATGATTTAAAGTGTATGAGAGAATGTGCAAATTTTATGAAAATACTAGGGTTTTTTTTTTGTTGTTGGTTGTGGGGCTTGAACTCGGCCTGGGCGCTGTCCCTCAGATCTTCAGCTCTAGACCAACACTCTACTGCTTGAGCCACAGCGCCACTTCCCGTTTTCTAGTAGTTTATTGGAGTAAGAGTCTCACAGACTTTCTTGCCTGGGCTGGCTTGAACTGCGATCCTCAGATCTCAGCCTCCTGAGTAGCTAGGATTATAGGCATGAGCCACTGGAGCCTGGCTGAAAATACATTTTATAAGAGGGACTTATGCAGCCTTGGATATAGCTACAGCCTATTATTACAGCTGCAGGGCCCCTAGAAGCAATCGCCGAGATACCAATGGTTGAACATATACTAAATACCTATTATTTGCCATGTGCTGCGCTAGGTCCTGGCCAATAGGCCACTGTCTTGTCCTGTGGATCTTATCATCTTATAAGACATATTAAACAACCATATAAATATTCAAGGGCACAGGGTACTATGAGAACCTATCAAGACCTTGACATAGATTTTAAGTCCTAGGACCAACACACACGTATACACACATACTGCAGTTTCTGATAAATAGGTGCATGCCTATAATCTTACTCAGGAGCCTAGGATTTGAGGATCATGGTTTGAAGCTAGCTCAAGTAGAAGTCAGTGAGATTCTTTTTTTTTTTCTTTTTTTTTGGTTGGTTGTGGGGCCTGAACTCTGGGCCAGGGTGCTGTCCCTCAGCTCTTTAGCTCAAGGCAAGTGCTCTACCACTTGAGCCACAGCACCACTTCCGACTTCTTCTGCTTATATGGTATTGAGGAATCGAACTCAGGGCCTCATGCATGCAAGGCAAGCGCTCTAACCACTGAGCCACCATCCAGCCCAAGTCAGTGAGATTCTTTTTTTTTTTTTTGTCGGTCATGGGGCTTGAACTCTGGGCCTGGGTGCTGTCCCTCAGCTCTTCAGCTCAAGGCGAGCGCTCTACCACTTGAGCTACAACGCCACTTCCGGTTTTCTGGTGGTTTATTGGAGATAGGAGTCTCACGGTCTCTCCTGCCCGGGCTGGCTTTGAACCGCGATCCTCAGATCTCAGCCTCCTGAGTAGCTAGGATTACAGGCGTGAGCCACCAGCGCCCAGCGTCAGTGAGATTCTTATCTCTTACCTGGCCAGCAAAGCCCAGAAGTGGAGGTGTGGCGCATGTGATAGAGTAGTATTAGCTTTCCTGAAAAGGTTCAAGGACGATTGCTGGTGGGAAGGTACATTAATACAACCACTTTGGAAAGCAGTCTGGAGGTACCTCAGAAAGCTAAATATGGGTTCAAAGCCAGCCATGAATAAACCACTTGAATAAACCACTCAGAAAACCAGAAGTGGCGCTGTAGAGTGCTGGCCTTGAGATGAAGAGCACAGGGACAGTGCCCAAGCACAGAGTTCAAGCCCCACAACAAACATAAAGAAAAAGAGACCGACAAAAAAAAAGAAGTGGTGGAGTATTATCCTTGAGCAGAAAAGCTCAGGGACAGTGCTCAGGCCCTGAGTTCAAGCCCCACAACGAACATAAAGAAAAAGAGAAGAGCCGGACTCCAGTGGCTCAAGCCTGTAATCCTAGCTACTCAGGAGGCTGAGATCTGAGGATCCCGTTTCAAAGCCATCTCAGGCAGGAAAGTCCATGATGCTCTTATCTCCAATAAACCACTAGAAAACCCGAAGTGGCGCTGTGGCTCAAGTGGTAGAATGCTAGCCTTAAGCTGAAGAGCTGAGGAACAGTGCCCAGGCCCAGTTCAGGCTCCATGACCGATATAAAAAAAAAAAAGGGGGTGGGGGGGAGATGGGAAGGGATGGGAAGGAAAACAAAGGAGGAGGCAACAATGCTTGATAAGAAATGTACTCATTACCTTGCCCATGTAATTGTAACCCCTCTGTACGGTATTTTCACAATAAAAAATTAAAAAGATAAAAGGAAAAGAGGAGAAACTGCTTTTGATAAAAAGCACTGACTCGCTCCTTTCTTAGACCCATGAATTAACTAAATTCATGGGAGGGAGAAAAGCTTGGTATAAGTTTCCACTGTTGTATCAGTCTTCATTATAATCCATTCACCACCTTGGATTCCAGGAAGCCCAGGACAGATCAACATCTTTAAAGGTAGGATGAAGGACACTGCCCCATATAAGAGCAGAGCCTCTGCAGGACAGACCATCCACCAGGAAACAAAGACATCCTGAATATATTGCTTTCTCAAGTGATAAACCTAGTAACAATTTCTATTTAGAATCCCTCCCCAAACCAACAGTGAGATAAAGATCAACCAGAAAATAATAACTATGCATACCTTTTATTCCAGATCTAAAGTCTTTCTCTATTTAAAGATCGTATTTGCATCCTAAAGATGAAGTGCTTATTTTGCTTCTTCCTGCAATTTGATACATAAGAAATCTGCTTTCAAGCCAGGCGCTGGCTCACGCCTGCAATCCTAGCTACTCAGGAGGCTGAGAGCTGAGGATCATGGTTCAAAGCCAGCCCGGGTAAGAATGTCTACAAGACTCTTATCTCCAATAAACCACTAGAAAACTGGAAGTGGCACTGTAGCTCCAGTGGTAGAGTGCTTGCCTTGAGCTGAAGAGCTGAGGGACAGTACCTAGAACCAGAGTTCAAGCCCCACAACTGAGAAAAAAAAGAAAAAGAAAATTTCCTTTCAACTAGGAGCTGGTGACTCACATCTATAATCCTAAAAGGTCAAGAGGCTGAGATCTAAGAATCCAGGTTTGAAGCCAGCCCAGGGAGGAAAGTATGAGACTAATCTCCAATTAGCCAGCAAAAGGCTGGAAGGGGAAACTGTGGCAAGTGGTAGAGTGCTAGCCTTGATTAAAAAACTCAAAGGGGGCTGGGAAGGTAGCTCAGTGGTAGAGCACTTGCCTTGCATGCTCCAGGCCCTGGGTTCGATTCCTCAGCACCACATAAGAAAAAAAAAGCCGGAAGTGGCGCTGTGGCTCAAGTGGTAGAGTGCTAGCCTTGAGCTGAAGAGCTGAGGGACAGTGCCCAGGCCCAGAGTTCAGGCCCCACGACTGGACCCAAAAAAAAAAAAAAACTCAAAGGGGGCCGGGGACTGGTGGCTCACGCCTGTAATCCTAGCTACTGAGAAGGCTGAGATCTGAGCATCACGGTTCAAAGCCAGCCCAGGCATGAAAGTCCGTGAAACTCTTCTCTCCAATATACCACTCAGAAAACTGGAAGTGGCGCTGTAGCTCAACTGGTAGAGCACCTAGCCTTGAGCTGAAGAGCTGAGGGACAGTGCTTAGGCCCAGAGTTCAAGCCCCATGACCAAAACAAAAACAAAAACAGAAACAAAAAAACAAAAAAAACTCAAAGGGGGGCTGGGATGTAGCTCAGTGGCAAAGCGCTTGCCTAGGAAGTGCAACGTCCTGGGTTCAATCCCCAGTACCAAAAAAGAAAAGACAAAAAAAAAAATACAGTGAAAAAAAACCCAAACAAAAAACTCAAAGGGCTGGGAAGGTGGCTCAGTGGTAAGAGCGCTTGCCTCGCATGCATGAAGCCCTGGGTTCAATTCCTCAGCACCACATAAGCAGAAAAAGCTGGAAGTGGTGCTGTAGCTCAAGTGGTAGAGTGCTAGCCTTGAGCTGAAGGACAGCGCCCAGATCCTGACTGACCAAAAACAACAACAACAACAACAAACTCTGAGACTATGCCCAGGTTCTAAGTTCAACCCCAGTACTGGCACAAGAAGGAAAAGGGGGAGGTACAGGGGGGGGGGGGGGGACAACAAACTTTATTCTGCTCTTTTCTATTACTCATCTCTTTATTTGGCTTGTAGGCCAAGTGTCAAGACCTGTGATATGCAATCTTTGGAGTTGGGTTCTGGAACCTAAAATCTGTTTCAAAGGATGAGATTTGTGATTCAGACGTGACACCAACACTCGTTAACAAGGACCAAAGAAAGTAGGCCTCCCCTTACCTTTTCCAGTCATATAATAGGCTCCTAGTTTGTAGCAGCTATTACTATGTTTGTTCTCTTCACAGTTGAACTTCAACACCTTAGCTGCCTCATCAAAATTCTTCTGGATCCCTTCCAAATAGTCCACCAGCCGGTAGCAACCTGTGAGAAGAGAGCTGTTCAGGTCTGGGTTGCAGAGGGCCAAGACATGGAAGGTGAAATTGAATCTTTTATGTAGAACCAGCCCTTATCCCTTTAAGTATGGCAAGCTGACCTTACCACAAAGAAGGAAGGTGGTGATCATCCACTCCCACAAGTAGCCTTGTCTCCTTAGCTAGGGACTGAGCAATATATGGACTGGGGAGACCTAGATCTTTGCAATATCTCTACCACTCACTCTCCAGCTTTTCTGCTCCTGATCAGCCTGGCTCAAGACCTACTGACTTCCATGACTGAAAATCTACTAGCTTCAGAACATCTCATGAAATTTAGTAGTAAGATAGTTAAAAAACGTAATGGGCTAATCTTTTTTTTTTTTTTTGGGTCTGGTTGTGGGGCCTGAACTCTGGGCATGGGCACTGTCCCTCAGCTTTTCAGCTCAAGGTGACCACTCTACCACTTGAGCCACAGCGCCACTTTCGGCTTTTTTTTTCTTTTTGCTTATGTGTGCTGGGGAAATCGAAACCAGGGAGGGCCTCATGCATGCAAGGCAAGTGCTCTACCACTGAGCCACCTTCCCAGCCCCTGGGCTAATCTTGTAGCAGCATGAAATGCAACAATGACTGGTCCTCATGCCTTTGACTCATTGCTATGTGGATCCTAAAGAGAAGTGGAAGCAGGGGCTGGGAATGTGGCTTAGTGGTAAGAGTGCTTGCCTTAGCCAGGCGCTGGTGGCTCATGTAATCCAAGCTACTCAGGAGGCTGAGATCTGAGGATCGCGGTTCAAAGCCAGCCCGGGCAGGAGAGACTGTGAGACTCTTATCTCCAATAAACCACCAGAAAACCGGAAGTGGCCCTGTAGCTCAAGTGGTAGAGCGATCGCCTTGAGATGCAGAGCTGAGGGACGGCGCCCAGGCCCAGAGTTCAAGCCCCACGACCGAGTGCTTGCCTTGCATGCATGAAGCCCTGGATTCCATTCCTCAGTACAACATACACATAAAGAACTGGAAGTGGCACTGTGGCTCAAATGGTAGGGTGCTAACCTTGAGCATAAGAAGCTCAGGGTCAGTGCCCAGGCCCTGAGTTCAAGCCCTAGGACTGGGAAAAATAAAGTGGGAAAGGAAACCAGAAGACCAGATCAACCTTTGGAGTTAGGACTTTATTTTTCTTGTAAATATTGAGGTTTGAACTCAGGCCCTCTTATTCCAGCTTGTGTGCTAGGCTGGAGCCATGTTTCAAACCAGACTTTCTGCTAGTTACTTTGGAGACAGTCTCACCGGCTTTCTGTCCCAAATTAGCTTCTCTTTGATCCTACAGATCTCAGCTTCCCGAGTTGCAAAGGTTAGAGGCATGAGCCAGCTGCGTGAGTGTGTGTGTTTCTGTGTGTGCAGGCGCTTACGGCTGAAATCTGGGCTTTTTCATGCTAGGCCAAACACTCTACATTTCCAACCCAGGAGTTAGGATACTATTCTAAGTACAACAGTAACAGCAAGGTTTTACGGGGAGAGGAGAGTTTCCAGAACTTTGTTTTCCCCCTGAGCTGACCTTGAACTGTGATCCTCTAATTCTGTCTTGGGAGTAGCTAGGATCACAGTTTAAACAACCTCTGTGCTCAGCCCCTCGCACCGCAGAATCACTCTAGCTGGGGAGAGAGCTCCTGAGCGCCGGTGCCCGCGCGGCCTCGGCCTCCGAGCGCAGAGGTGACAGACGCACGCCGCCGCGCCCGGCTGGCGCTCGCGCCCACGCCCAGCCGGCACGACCGACTGCAGGACCATCTCCCCGGGTGCCGAGACAGCTCCAGGCTTCACACCGCCGACGCCCGGACCCCGCTCTCCCTCACGCCCACCGCAACGCAACGCCGCGCCCACCCCGCACCAGACCCCGCGGCGTCCACAGGGGCCCGCCAGGTCTCCTCTCCCCCCACTCCCTCCCCCCGCGAACCCCGCTCACCATCCGGGTCTTTCTCTTTGTAGCACTGGTAGTGGCACTCCACCTTCATGTTGTCTAGGAATAACTTTACCTGTTCCTCGTCTTGGAAGTCCACTGGACCAGCCATGATTCGGCTTTCCTCCACCCACGTTGCCCCGGCGTCCCGCCTACGGTCACGTGAGCCGGCGCGTGGAGGCGGGGCGTGGAGGCGGGGCGTGGAGGCGGGGCGTGGAGGCGGGGCGTGGAGGCGGGGCGTGGAGGCGGGGCGTGGAGGCGGGGCGTGGAGGCGGGGCGTGGAGGCGGGGCGTGGAGGCGGGGCGTGGAGGCGGGGCGTGGAGGCGGGGCGGGGGAGGGCCGGCGCTGACGCCTGTACTCCCCGCGGAAGTTCCAGGGAGCGCGCGGCACGCATGCGCGGAGCTTCCCGTCAGCCATTGCGCTGTGCGGGTCTTCCGGCGCCGGAAATCTTAGGACGGTCTGGTGTCTCCAAAGAAGGGCTTGAGTTTCAGCGGCACCTGACCTGTCCCTGCAGCGCTTTATCCAGCGTACCTTTCTTTCCTTCCTTCGTTCCTTCAGCAATGCCTTAAGTGCCTTTGTCACCGGACACAGGTGAGGTTTAGGGAAGCTCCCCTTTAAATATAGGAACTCTTCACTTAGGGTCCTTGACTTCCAGCGCAGAGTAAGAATTTCTGGGCAAGTCACAATGGTAAGAAAACTTGGCAGAGCTTTATTAAGTAAACAAGCAAGGAGACAGACGAGCTGACAAAAAAAAAAGCAGGCAAACAGAAGGGCAGAGGCACACTCTAGCAGAGTGTGGGTGCTTCTTTCCTAGGCAACACTAGGCCTATTTAGTAAAGGCAGTAAATAATCAGCCTCCAACCCCCTCTACCTTGGGACAGCTACCAACATATAAGGCAACAAGAGCCCCTTAGAGTGACCTTCACATCTGGGCAGCTGCAAGGCCCCTTATCTGCTACTAGGGCAGCAGCCATAAATCCTAGATCACTAAGATGAAGTCCCTGGTCCTCATGTCCATTCCAGGGTTTCTGCCTCTTAGGTTATATAGGTCACCTCAGACAGCAGCTGGCACTTCTCACTTCTCTCTTGTGAGAAGAGGTCTTGCCAGCCCCTTTTCCTGGTAATAAACCTTTCTTTGTTCTTTTACCTAGATCTCTGCATGGTTTTCTAGCAAAGTCTGATATACTCTACCACCAACCATTTATTTTTTGGTCGGTTGTGGGGCCTGAACTCTGGGCCTGGGCTCTGTCCCTCAGCTCTTCAACTGTAGACTAGTGCTCTACCACTTGAGCCTCAGCCCCACTTCTGGCTTTTTCTGCTTATGTGGTGCTGAGGAATCAAACCCGAGGGCCTCATGCATGCAAGGCAAGCACTCTACCACTGAGCCACCTTCCCAGCCCTATATTTTTATAGATGTAATGTGTGTAAGCCCAGTGAGCTCCATTCCCATAGTTTAGGATGCTCCTTTCCTAGGCAACACTAAGCCCATTTAGTAAAGGCAATAAATAATCAACCTCCAACCTCCTCACCCCTTTACCTTGGGATGACACTCCTCTCAGGCAGCTACCACCATAAAAGGCAACCAGAGCCCCTTAGAGTGACCTTCAGGTCTGGGCAGCTACAGGGCTCCTTATCTACTACTTGGGCGGCAGCCATAAATCCTAGCCTGCCATGATGAAGCCACTGGTCCTCACGTCCATATCAGGGTCTTCACTTCCTAGCCCCTACTAGACTTCTAGGTTATATAGTCACCTTGGACAATAGCTGGCACTTCTCACTTCTCTCTTGTGAGAGTGGGTCTTACTGGTCCCTTTAATGGGTCTGCTGATCCCTTTATTAGCAATAAACCTTTCCTTTGTTTTTTGTACTTGGATGTCTGCTTGGTTTTCTGGCAAAGTCTAATATACTATAACAATGTGCTTATTAGCACAGTACCTGGCTTAGAATAATTCTGTTCCAGAAATGTTTCTTGTCTTGTTTGTCATTGCATGAAAGTCTGTATCTCTTAGCATACTGTGATCACTGTGACCCTTCGAAGTGGCCTGGCACCGGTGGCTCACATCTGTAATCCTAGCTATTCAGGAGGTTGAGATCTGAGAATCACAGTTCAAAGCCGGCCTGGGCAGGAAAGTCCATGAGACTCTTCTCTCCAATTAATCACCAGAAAACCAGAAGTGGCATTGTGGCTCAGGTGGTAGAGCACTAGCCTTCAGCTGAAGAGCTGAGGGACAGTGCCCATGCCCAGAATTCAAGCCCCAGGACCGACAAAAACAAACAAACAAAAAAACAATACGGAAGTGCATTGAGAGTATAGCTCAGTAGAGCACTTGTCTAGCATGTGCAAAATCCTGGGTTCAGTTCCCAATTCCACAATACAAAAAACAAAAGAAAATATGGGTAAATGAGGTGGTTGAGCTCTATAATCCCAGCTATTTGGGAGGTGTAGATTAGGAGAATCATGGTTTGAGGCTAACCCATGCAAAAAGTTAGTGAGACTCCCATCTTAATCAACGAAGTCAATGTTATGGCATACACCTGTGTTCTCAGCTATGTAGGAGACCTTGGTAGGAGGATTGAGGTCAGGCCTGGCCCATGGTTAATCCTGGAGGCCCCCCTGAAAACTAAACCAGAAAAGGGTGGGTTTGGGGCTGGAAAGGTGGCTCAGTGGTAGAGTGCTTGCCTTGCATGCCTGAGGCCCTGGGTTCAATTCCCCAGCACCACATAAGCAAAAAGAAAAAAAAAGCCAGAAGTGGCGCTGTGGCTCAAGTGGTACCCACGCCCAGAGTTCAGGCCCCAGGACCGGACCCCCCCCAAAAAAAGAAAAGGGTGGGTTTCCAGTGGTAGAAGGCTTGCCTATCAAGTGAAAGGCCCTAAGATTTTTTTGTTTTTGTCTTTTAATGTTTTTTATTGTAAAAATACTGTATAGAGAGGTTACAGTTACATGAGTAAGGTAATGAGTACTTTTCCTATTGAGCATGATTACCCCCTCCTTTGTTTTTAAGGCCCTAAGTTTATTTATTTATTTTTTTAGGGGTCCGGTCGTGGGGCCTGAACTCTGGGCCTGGGCGCTGTCCCTCAGCTCTTCAGCTCAAGGCTAGCGCTCTACCACTTGAGCCACAGCGCCACTTCCGGCTTTTTTCTTTTTGCTTATGTGGTGCTGAGGAATCGAACCCAGGGCCTCAGGCATGCAAGGCAAGCACCACCTTCCCAGCCCTAGGCCCTAAGTTTAAACTTCAGTAACACACACACATATGCAAAGACACACAAACACACATATACTTCTGAGAGCTCAGAGATGATATAAGATAACCAAGTCAAGCACTCAGACCGACTAAAAGTAATGCTTTTAATCATTTTTTCAGTTGAATTTCTTTGAAATGAAATCACTTGAACAGTAGAGGACAGTAGAGAGTTGGTAAAAGGGAAAAGAGGCTGGGCCAAGTATGAAATGCTGGTCCCTGGGATTGAACTGTCCCTGAACTTCTTTTTACTCAAGGCTAGCATTCTACCACTTGAGTCATAGCACCACTTTCAGATTTTTCTGAGTAGTTTATTGGAAATAAAAGTCTCATGGACTTTCTTGCCCAGCTGGCTTTGAAACAGGATCCTCAGACCTTATCCTCCTGAGTAGCTAAGATTATAGGTGTGAGTAACAAGTACCTGGATTGTCTCTGAAGTTTTTTGCTCAAGGCTAGCACCCTACTACTTGAGCCACAGCTCCACTTGCAACTTTTTGCTTGTTAATTGGAGTAAGAGTCTCATGGACTTTCCTGCCTAGACTGGCTTCAAACTGTGATCCTCAGATCTTAGTCTCCTGAGTAGCTAGGATTACAGGTATAAGCCACCAGCACCTGGCTGAAGTCATACTTTAAAAAGAAATTTTATATCTTTGCAAGGGCAGTCTCTCAGCCCAGTACCAGTGGCTCATACTTGTAATCCTAGCTACTCAGATCTGAGGATCACAGTTCAAAGCCAGCCCTGGCAGGAAAGTCTGTAAGACTCTTATCTTCAATTAATCACAGAAAAAAACAGAAGTGGTGTTATAGCTCAAGTGGTAGAGTGCTAACCTTGAGCAAAAGGAGCTTAGGGACAGCACCCAGGCCCAGAGTTCAAGGCCTAGCGCTGGAAAAAAAAAAAAGAAAAGGGGCAGACTTCTCCTCTTCTCCCCTTCCTCCTCTTTGTCTCCCTATAGTCTTCTTCCTTCTCCCCTCCAACTCCCTCCCCCCCATTTTCTGATTGGTTGTGCGGCTTGAACTCTACTTTTCACTCATTCCACAGATATTCTGAGTGCTCAATAATGAATAGGGCTTAAGGGATGCAATTTTGAAAAGTTCAAGTTCAAAAAAGTTCAAGAACATACTCTTTGAAAAGGAAAGACACTTTTTAATAAACACCTACAATGTTTATAAGATTTATTCCTTTTGTACTGAACAGTGCTGCTCCTAGCAGTGCTGTTATGGCAGTGCTGGAGAGAGGTATGACCTTTTGAGGATGAAGTATAATGGAACAGACTTTACCACCTCTAATTGCTCCTTTAAGTTCAGATCAGGCAAGGAACAAACCTCTTATCAACCAACAAGACCAAAGGATTATATATTAAATTGAAGATCAACATTTAAATCTAAAACACAAAGTTTGTGTCTACTCAACAGCTTTGAAAGAACACTCCACAATGCTGTTAGTAGTTTTAGTGTTTTTTTTTTTCAGTGCTGTACTGTGAGATTTCTTGGTGCAACAATAGTTGTATTTTTTGTTTGTTTGTTTTTGTTGGTTATGGGGCTTGAACTTTGGGCCTGGGTGCTAGCCCTGAGCTCTGTAGCTGAAGGCTAACCCTCTACCACTTAAGCCACAGTGCCACTTCTGGTTTTCTGGTGGTTAACTGGAGATAAGAGTTCCATGGAGGGCTGGAAAGGTGGCTCAGTGGTAGAGTGCTTGCCTTGCATGCCTGAGGCCCTGGGTTCGATTTCTCAGTACCACATAAGCAGAAAACGCTGGAAGTGGTGCTGTGGCTCAAGTGGTAGAGCACTAGCCTTGAGCTGAAGAGCTAAGGGACAGCGCCCAGGCCCAGAGTTCAGGCACCATGACTGGCAAAAAAAAAAAAAAAGAGTTCCATGGACTTTCCTGTCTGGAACCAGGATCCTCAGA